GTCCGGCGCGCTGCCGGCTCCCGACCCGGGGGGGCGGCGGCACCATGAGCGACATCCGCCACTCGCTGCTGCGCCGCGACGCGCTGAGCGCGGCCAAGGAGGTGCTGTACCACCTGGACATCTATTTCAGCAGCCAGCTGCAGAGCGCGCCGCTGCCCATCGTGGACAAGGGCCCGGTGGAGCTGCTGGAGGAGTTCGTGTTCCAGGTGCCCAAGGAGCGCGGCGCGCAGCCCAAGGTGCGGCGGGGGCGCCGGGCAGCCCAGGGGCGTCCCGTCCTACCCACGTCCCCCCTTTGCGAGCGGGTGCCTGCGCTGACCGTGCCCCGGTGCGCTCCTTAGTCCTTCCTCCCGCCCCTCGGTGACAGGTATTTGCCACACCAAAGGTGTTTTAGGCTCCAGGGGCTCCGATCTCGGCTTGGATCGCCTTGCAGCACGTCCAGCCGTCCTCTCTGGAGTCCCCGGCGTTGCTCGGCTGCGTGCCTGTCGTGCAGCGAGTGGGCAGCCACGGCCCCGTGGTGCTAAAGGAAGAGGCTTTGGGTACTGCCCGCTCTTCTCACTGAAGACGTTACCCTGTCGTCGGGATTCCCCAATTGTTGTGCATCGTCCTGAGTTCTCCAGGACGGAGTCTATTAACGTCTAATGACGTTTTCTGGGATTAACCGTAGGATTACGGGCACGTGGGCTTCCACGGGTGGGAAGTGGTACCCCGGAGGAAAGGAGCCCCCTGTGTATTTGCCGTGTGGATGGCTGAACGCCTTAGAGCCGCGTGTCTGACAGCTTCTCCTGGACTTGTTTTGCAGAGACTGAATTCCCTCCAGGAGCTTCAGCTGCTTGAAATCATGTGCAATTACTTCCAGGAGCAAACCAAGGACTCTGTCCGGCAGATGATTTTCTCCTCCCTTTTCAGTCCCCAAGGGAACAAAGCTGATGACAGCCGCATGAGCTTGTTGGGAAAGCTGGTATCCATGGCAGTGGCAGTGTGCCGCGTCCCTGTGTTGGAGTGTGCGGCCTCCTGGCTCCAGGTAAAACCACCGGTTGCCGTCGCATCGTCCCTGTCTCATAGTGACCTGGTGTGACAGCCGACCTAGGCCCCTGGGCCCCGTGGGATTTTCAGGGGGTGATGTTTTGCAAGTAGACCACCAGGTCTTCCTCTTAAGACACCCCTGGGTGGACTTCAGCTTCCAGCCTTTGTTCAGTAGCCAAGCACCTTAACTGTTGTCACCACCCAGGGCCTCATAGGGTCCAGGGACCTTCTCCCAAGATCCCTGATGAGTAGTTTACTGCCAGCGTTCTTATTTGATTGGTGTCTGAAGTACCCTTTTCTCTTCCATCATCAGTGCCTTGGAGACGGATCTCTGCTCCCTCGCCTTGTCTGGATATACCAAAACCCACTGCCACGCAGTTGATTCCGACATATACAGACCTTATTGGAAAGAATAGAATTGACCCCCTGGTTTCATAGGCTATAAGTCTTTATGGAGATAAACTGCTGCATCTTTGTCCCATGGAGTGACTGGTGGGTTTGAACTGCTAGCCTTTTGGTTAGCAGTCAAATACCTCAACCACTGTGCCAGCAGAGCTCCTTATTCTGAAATACAAACAGTAACTATTCTTGAGAAAACAGTTGTTCTTCACGGTGAAAGGTGCCATCTTCTCACCTTCAGAACAAGTGAAACAGTTCCTTTTCCTTAAGTGAAAATCACATGGTAGGATTTTGAAAATAGCAATGTAAACAGCCTCAAAGATAGTTTTGTTTTTTTTCAAGATTATGTATTGAGTTGTGGCAGTGTCTACCTGTTATTCCGAAAAAAACAAACCCACTGCCGTCAAGTGGATTCTAACTCATAGTGGCCCCCATTGTGTTTCCAAGGCAGTAAATTTTTATGGGAGTAGATTGCCTCCTCTTCCTTCTGCAGAATGGCTGGTGGGTTTGAACCGCCAACCTTCTGGTTAGCAGTCCAATAGTGAATAAATGCTTTAGGTACCGCACCACCAGAGCTCCTTTGTTAGAAGGCTGTTTTCTTACATTACTGTTTGGCGTTGCATTTGCATTAAGGCGCACTGGTGGGGCCGTGAGTGGTTAAGCATTCAGCTGGTAACCACAAGGTCAGCAGTTCAAACCCACCAGCCACTCTGCAGCAGAAAAGACCCGACAGTCTGCTTCTGTAAAGATGGCAGCCTTGGAAAAGCAATGGGGCAGTTCTCTCCTGTTGGATCAATACGAGTCAACTCAATTGAGTTTGGTGGCACAGTGTTGTTCACATGCTTGGTACTAACCATAAGGTCGGCAGTTAGACCTGTGAGAATAAGACTTGGTAATCTCATCTTGTAAAGACTGAAAGCCTTGGAAACCCTGTGGGGCAGTCCTGTTCTGTCCTCTAGAGGCACTGGGGGACATTACAAAGTCAAGGGCTCTGCTAGTGGGTGTAAGAGCCTTCTAAAGTATTCTTACATATCAAAGGAAAAAGCGAGTATATTTGGGATTGATTTCTTACTAGATCGTATTTTGGAAGATTCATTTTGTTTTGCTTTTCTGCTATTCTGAATCTCTTGAGAAATTGGTAATCCACTCAGGAGAGTTAGTAACCAAAATTTTGTCCTAATCCTCAGCCAAGGGAACAGAATTTTGCTACATGTTTCACAAACACTTTTTCCATTTCAATTTAATTAAATCTCTTCCTTGTTCTTTGCGGTATACCTCAATGGAGTCTGAGCCTGAATCCTCACTGGTCCAGGCTGTAGGGCATCTGGAGTGACCCAGTATTTCTCTTTGACCTCAGGGTCCCCTTTAGTCCTTGACAACCAAGTTTAGCATTTCTGACTCCTCGTAGAAGTTTTCCATTTACCTCTTCTGATGCTTGGATGCTGGCATTTTGCTAGATGAAAGCAGATATCAGCGGTAGGAAAGGGTCTTATGGTCTCAGTCAGGGTTTGCCACCCTGGGGCAAGCTTCCTCCTCAGACATGCTGGAGTTTTTAGTGACAGCTTTGGCGTTGTGGGGACAGATGACACCCTGAATGTACAATCTCGTCTTCCTGTCCGCTGTTGTTCCTCCTACAGGGCGAAGTCAGAGCCCTGATCCTACAGCATCCTGAGCAGCCATTGAATGTGGCCATCGCCACAGACAGGACAGAAAAAAGGCAGGGGAGGGTGGTGACGTTGGACTCAAAAGTGTCAGAGAAGTCTGTTGAGGGTGAGATTGTAAGGAACTTAGGAAGTGCTGCTCTAAAGAGACTTTTCAGCATGTGGTCATTGACAAGGGCTCCTAAGTCCTTTCAAAGTTGGGGCAACTGTTCATTCCTACCTGTGGAGCTTCTCTTGGACTTCATAGGCTTACAGAGATCATCATTTCTCCACCTGACTTCAGAAACAGTCATTCCTAAGTGAACTTGAAAGCTGAGGTTGGCAGACTTTTTCTCTGAAATGGCCAGATAGTAAACATTTGAGTGTTTGCAGGTATCGTAGCAAGAGCCACTGGAAATCACAGGCAAACCAATGAGCACAGTGTGTTTCAATAAAATTTAATTTACAAAATCAGGTGGCAGGATAGCTTTGGTCTGTGGGCCTCAGTTTGCCAGCCCTTGCTTTAAAATAAGCACTGCCCATTTTTTCCTGTTTATGAAAGTGAGCCCACCAGCTCTGGGAGTCTTGACCGTCTGTACAGAATTTCCACATTGGCTCACAGCACCTGTAATGTGTTGCACTGTGGCTTCTTTCCAGCGGACACCTGTCGTCTACTGCGTGAGGTTAGCCAGGGCCCTCGTGGATGACTACTGCTGCCTGGTTCCAGGATCCGTGCAGACACTGAAGCAGATCTTCAGTGCCAGCCCCCGCTTCTGCTGCCAGTTCGTGACGTCCGTCACCGCGCTTTATGACCTGTCCTCAGGTAAAACGTTAAATGGGGTGTCGCTGTTTAGAGAGGCTGCAGCTGATTTTATACCCAGCTGAAGTGTCCAGTGAATGTGTTGGCCTCTCACCCTCTGAAATGTGTGTTTTCATTTTAGGCCAAAAGCTAAAGGTGTGTGGGGGTCACCTGGGCTTATGCAGTTGGCTAAGGGGGTGTGTTCCTTAGTGGTACCCTAACTTGGAATGTTAGGAGGGACAGACAGCCCTCGAAGCCAGGGTCTAGTGTCTGGGTAAGACATGTTTTTGTATCTAAGCCCTGCTGTGTGAGTCTTCTTCCCTAGATTTGCAACTCACTTTTTTAATCTCTCAGTTTTTCTTTGACAATTTCAAAATTTCAGGAAAGTTGCAAGAATAGCACAACCATTCATCTGTCCCCCACTCAGATTTATCAGTTACTAACATTTTGCTCCGTGTCCTCTCTTGTCCTCTCTGGCCTCGCTTCTTCACACACACAAGACAAGATTTTCCTGAACTGTTTGAGAGTTGGCTGCCAGTGTCCTATACTGAATGCTTAGGCACATATCCTGAGAACAAGGCCGTTCTCACATAACCATGACATCGTTTCCCACTTAAGAAATTTAACACAGGCAGCCCCGCCTTACAGTGAGCTTCTGTTCAAACAACTCTGTCATACGTTGGTTCTGACATAAGTCAAATATGTTGGGTGGTTGGTTTTTTTTTAGTTTTCATTACTGTTGCCTTTTATTAGCAGCATCTCTGTAAATCTGCTGTTTATTTGTTTTTGGTCATTGACATGAGAAAGGTGACATCAGCAAACTGTGCAATGTTGTACGTAGGACGTACTACTAAAGATAAATGGTAATCTTAAAAAACAAACCAGACGATCGTAAGTGCATTTTGTTGTAACTGGAAGATGTTGTAAGTCGGGATTGTCCTGTATTGCTGCAACACTGTTATCAAACATATAGCGTGTGTTCACATTTTCCCACATATCTCAATAATATCTTTTCTGGTCATCTTTTTTTTTTTCCTTTGGACATTGGGGAGAATTCAGGGGTCATGCATTACACAAAGTGGTCATGGCCTTTTCAAAACCTAGAACAGCTCCCCAGCAGTGAAAAACAAATCTTCCACGACACTGATATTTTGACGCATCCGGCCTGTTGGACAGGATGTCCCCAGTTTGGCTTTGTCACATGTTTCTTTAGAAGGTTGGGGTCAGGTGTTCTGGCAGCAGGGCTCTGTGGATGATACGGCAGTGTGCTGGGGGCACACGTGCCAGTTCGTTTTTTATTGGTGACGTGTTGGAGGCCCTCTCAGCCGGATGCAAGTAGAGGTTCCTAGGGTGCCCACCAGGAGGCATGTGGAGGTCCACGTCCCTCACCCCTGGCTGGCAACAGAGCCTTCAAAAATGACGATCATTTTATGCAGGTTTCCAATCAAGACGGGAGCCCTGGTGGCACAGAGGTTAAGAACTTAGATGCTAAGCGAAAAGTCTGCAGTGTAAACCCCCAGCAGCTCTGTGGGAGAAAAGACCAGGCTGGCTGCTTCTGTAAAGACAGCGCTGCAGACCCACTGGGGTAGTTCCTTCATCCTCCAGGGCCGCTGGAGTCGGAACTGACTCCACGGTTCACAGCAACAGCAGCAATAATGCAGACGACCCACTCTGGTTGGGTTAGGGCCAAGGTCATAGTTGAGGGAGAAACAGCCATTCTCTCCTGAGAAGGAGCCCTTGGGAACTGCCTACCAGCACGGGAGAAACGGCCATACTCTCCTGAGGAGGAGCCCTTGGGAACCGCGTACCAGCACGGGAGAAACAGCCATTCTCCCCTGAGAAAGAGCCCTCGGGAACCGTGTACCAGCACGGGTCTCACTCACGCTGCGCTCCGCGCTCTCGTGCTTGGCTTTCTCTCAGCAGCCTGGAAGTGGCTTCGCTTGTCCGTGGGCTGTGGGATGCACACGGCCAGCCTGTGGGTGTCGCACACCCACGCCAGGCTGGGCAGTGTTTCCTAGTGGTTAGAGAGCAGGCCCTGAGCCAGGCCCACCATGTGCTCATAATGAGCCTTGGGCAGATGACCCACGCCCATGCCTCAGTTTCCTTGTGATTTATATGGGGATGAAATGGGTTTGTAGGGGGAGTAATTTGTGTAACAGACGTGGACTAGTGGTCAGCGCAGAATTGATGTCATTGTGGGCTTTTGTATCATTGTCCTCTGCTGAGCTGCAGATGTACCATCAAGTTGGACCCAACTCATAGCGACCCCTCATCGGGTTCCCGAGGCAGTATCACTACAGAAGTAGATTGCCCAACCTTCCTTCTGAGGAGTGGCTGGTGGGTTTGAACCACCAGCCTTCTGGTTAGCAGTCAGGTGCCTTAGGTACTTGAATAGGATGAGCTGTCTTCGAGACCTAGTGGAGTTGTAGGGGATTGTTGGTTTAACATATACTACTTGAGGCCCCCCTTGGCCTGAGGGTTCTGGGCTGTGGCGCTACCAGTGAGGGGGACAGCATCCCGGCACTCACGGAGCTGGTGTCCCAGAGAGGAGTCGAGCCTGGGAGCCGCGAGGCACACGCCAGGTGGTAAGTGCCGAGAAGTCAGGGCCCAGCCACCCCCTGCTGAGGTGGAGACCTTTGACCTGATGGGTCTTTGCTTACAGATGACCTCATCCCGCCTCTGGACTTGCTCGAGATGATTGTCGGCTGGATCTTTGAGGACCCGAGGTTGATTCTCATCACGTTTTTAAATACGCCGATCGCAGCCAACCTACCAATCGGATTTTTAGAGCTCACCCCGCTGACGGGACTGATCCGCTGGTGCGTGAAGGCGCCTCTGGCCTATAAGAGGAAAAAGAAGCCCCCGCTCGCCAACGGCCACCTCAGTAACACGGTGACAAAGGACCTGGGCGTGGACCTGGACGGGGACTCGCACGTCCTGTACTCCAAGCTGCACCTCAGCGTCCTGCAGGTCCTGATGCTCCTGCAGGGCCACCTGACCGAGAAGAACCTGTACGGCCGCCTGGGCCTCATCGTCTTTGACCACATGGTCCCGCTGGTCGAGGAGCTCAACAGGCTGGCGGACGAGCTGAACCCCCTCAACGCCTCCCAGGAGATCGAGCTCGCGCTGGACCGGCTCGCGCAGGCCCTGCAGGTGGCCATGGCCTCCGGGGCCCTGCTGTGCACGCGAGGTGGGTGCTCTCCTCCCAGCCCTTCCTGGGGTGGGCCCCCACACCAGCCCTGACCTCCGTGGCTTTTGGGGTGGCTTTTCCTCTTGGTGAGCACAGGGGAGGGGGCGGGGGTCGCAGAAGATCCTCCACTTGGACACTGTAACCCACCCCTGCAGCCACCTCTGCGAGCGCTCCCTGGCCGCCACCTTGTCATCCGTGGTGTGTCCAGTCTCTCTGCCCAGGACCAGGAGCCCCTCCCAGCAGGGCACTTGCTTGCCTCTCTTTCTCTGCAGCCCTTTGTTGTGGGGCATTGTTGGTGTTTGTGGATGCTGCTCAGTTGGCGCTGACACGTGGCGACCCCACTTAACATGGTAGACTGCCCCAGATGGTTTCTTAGGGTGTCACCGTTACGGGAACAGATCACCAGGCCTTTCCTTCCTGTAGCAGCTGGGTGGGTTCTGACCCCCAACCTTTCAGGTTGTCAGCCGAGCCCTTACCCACTGTGCCGTGAGGGCACCATGACGAGACATTTGCATACGATGAAACACACAGACTGACGTGCAGAGTTTCAACAAGTTACAGTCTCGAGTTACCCCTGCACTAACTGAGGCAGAGAACAGCCCCATCCGCTGCCCTGGGGGCTCCGGCTTCGGAGTTTCCCTGCTTGAGCTCCCCAGGCCACGATCGGGCCGAGCAGCACACGTGGGCTTGCTCTTTCACTGTTGACTCGCTCACGGGCAGCCTGGGGCCCACGTGACAGTCACCAGTGATGGGCTTCCCATCTTACCTGAGTTCCCAGAATGCCCGGGCACCTGCCTCCCTCAGGACGTGGATCAGGAAACCAGGAATGGGGTCTCTGTTCCCCTTGGTTTTCAGGGGATGCTGAATTGATGACCAAGTACAGCAGCCCCATCTCTCCAGGGTTAGGGAGAATGGTGGGCCGTGGCACGTATCTTTTTGGGACACACTAGAGACTGTTCACAAAACCAGCTCTGGTGGGCTGCCCGCAACCACCCCGTGCCCACTGATCTGCTGAGAGCCCTGCCTTTGGACGCTGGCCCGGCCACCTGGCAGCTAGCCAGTAGGGTTGCACCTTCCCTGAGTAACCTTCCTGCTTGAAGCCTTGTTGTTAGAACAAGCGTTGCACAGAAGAACACCAGCCATGTCTGAGTGGTGCTGGGGAAACGTGGTGCGAGGCACCGTCCTTGTCTTGCCAGCATTCTTGTATAGAAAGCCCACACACTGTCACCTCATTGTGTCCAGGCTACTCCTTACCTGTGTGTCTCCTTCATTTCAGACGACCTGCGAACCTTGTGCTCCAGGCTGCCACACAATAAGTAAGTGCCTCTTAGGCTGCCGGCTGGGCCCAGGACTAGGGGTCACGTCACAAGCATGGTGGGCCTCTGGGTCTTGGGGCCCTGGGGAGGGTTTGTCTGCAAGGTTGAGAGTGTCCTGTGTAGGAGCCCCTTAAGGACTTGGTGATACATGGGGAGCGGAGGTGATGGCCTAGCCCCACGGGAGGAATTGTAAGTAGATACTAAGTGTAAAAAAAGTGGCCATCTTGCTAGGAGTCAAGGCATACACTTGGAAGACACTCTGTGTGTCTTTAAAGCTCCCTGGATGCGTGTACGCTTATTTCCTGGTGAGACCAGCCTGCTCTCGCTCTGCTGGCGACGTGGTTTGTGACCCTGTCTAAGGTTCTGCAGCACCTTGCTCGAGGCCACAGAATGTTGGCTGAGTGGGTGCCTGGATTCTGAGCGCTGTTCTCATGTTATTTGCTGTGACTTTTGGGTAGGCCCTTAACCTCCCTCCAAGTCTCGGTTCCCACCTTGAAAAACGAGCGCAACCTTGTAGGACCGTTACCATTGGCTGCCTGGGAGTTGGCATCCCCATGCACAACAAGGTGAAACTCTGGCCGCTCCTGTGCCAGCCCCCGGGACTCGATACGGATCAGACCGTCAGGACCCACGGGGTCTCCCGGGCTGATTTTCAGAAGTAGGTTGCCACGCCCTTCCTCCTAGTCCATCTTTGGAAGTTCTACTGGAACCTGGTCAGTGTCATAGCAGCGTCCAGGGCTCTGCTGCTCGGCTGAGGCCAGGGAAGGCCCAGGAGCTGACAGGGGTGAGGGCTCTCTCTGGGGTGGGGGTGGTAGGAAGGGGGAGGCTCTGTGAGGAGTTTCCGCAGGGACCCCGCGTTGGTGGCCGAGGCTGACCTCAGAGGAAGAGGGTCTCCACGTGCTGGGGCCGCTGAAAACCCAGCCGGGAGGGGCGGGCAGACGGGGGGCAGGGCCTCTCAGCTTGGGGGTGTGGGACCGCTCAGTGGGGGGGAGTCGGGGGGTGTGGGGAGGACATGCTGGCGTTGGTGGCTGTGATAGTGAGGGTCTGGGGAGACTCTCGGGGTGAGGAGGCCACCATGTAGGGGTGAAGAAGCCCTGTGGGGCTGGGCTGTGGAGGTCTGATAAGAGTGGGACCTGGCCCTGTTCAGGACTCGATTGAGTGTTGTTACCTCAGAGGCTAGCTTTTGAGCAGTTTAGCTTGGAACTCAGTCAGAGCTCATTCGTTAGGAACGACTTTGAAGAGATGTGCCTGGTGCCCATTTGCACGGGGCTGGGCCTCCCGGGAGGTGAGCTTGCGAGGCTGCAGTGGTGCCCACATGCTGTGGGTCCCGGGCGAGGAGGCAGGGCTCTGGACCGCGGCAGCAGAGCTGCAGGTGGACGCAGACCGGACCGGGTGCAGGGCCTGCTTCACAGTCCCCTCATGCTGCCTGTTCCCCCACAGCCGGCTCTGCTGTGTGACCCCACTCTGGGGCCTGCCGGTCCTGGGAGGGCCATCTCCAGGCCCCCTCTCCTCTCTGCTGTCCCCACCGTGAGCCCTCTCCGCCTGGGCCTGGCCTGGGTGACTGGCCAGGGTCTGTCACGTTCTGCCCGGCGTCACCAAGGCCTCTGTTCTGGTGCCTCTGCTGGACCCGGTGTGCAGGGGCAGCCCGGGTCCCGTGCCTGCCTCCCCATCTCTCCCCCAGGTGCCTGGGACAGGGGGGCCGTGGCAGCCCCGTGCAGCCGCGGGAAGGGCTCCTGGGTGAACGTGCCGTCCTAATGCTCCTCCTTGTCTTTGCAGCCTGCTGCAGCTGGTGATCTCCGGCCCCGTGCAGCAGCCTCCCCACACGGCGCTGCCCCCCGGGTTTTACCCTCACATCCACACCCCGCCACTGGGCTACGGGGCCGTGCCGGCCCACCCCGCCGCCCACCCTGCCCTGCCCACGCACCCCGGGCACACCTTCATCTCAGGCATGACCTTCCCCTTCCGGCCCATCCGCTAGGCCGGTGCTCCTGGGCCGCCGCATGGCAGGGTGCTGTCAGTGCCCGGGCAGGGGGATGCCGCCCGGAGGAGGGGCGGGTGATATGGGGAGGAGGACCTTGGAGAGGCAGCCAGCCGGCTCCTCCTCGCTGCCCGATCCTGCTGCCGAAGTTCGAGTCGTCGCAACGCAGGTGCCTCCTACCTGGTCATGTTCTTTCGAGAAGGGATGGCTGGAAGGGAAAGGGCGCGGCCCTCTGCAGAGCGTCGGGGCTGTTTCTGGAGTCGTCCCCCCAGAGCCCGTGTGGGAGCGGCACGGCTGGGGGGGTGCCGAGGGGCCCTCGGCTGCCTTCCTGGGGAACGTCGCGTGTCCCTGCACACAGACGGGTTCTTCTTACGCTCTGTGAGCTCAGAGCTGGTACGTGGTAGTTGCAAGTGCACTCACAGTGCTTGGCACTGATCAGGGAAGCCTGTCAGAATGTCCCCCGTCCCCTAGGAAAGGAACTTCTCTGTTTTATAGAGGTCTCTAAATTTTCCTTTCGTATGTTCAAATAAAACGTTTTTCTAAACAGTCCGCTAGCCTTGAGAGAATGTATCTTAGAAACTGACGGAGCGTGAGTCACAGTGGTTGTCTCTGCGGTCTGCCCCCATGAGGTAAGAAGATAGGAGGCTGGTTTTCTGTCGCTTCTGACAGAAACTCTGCAGACACTGCGTCTGTACCCGAGAAGTGGCGTCTGCAGGCCCCGCAGAACTTGGGTGTGTTGGCCTCGGGGCACGAGCCCTTTCTTCCCTCAGATACAGAATATAGCCTCAGGGGCCTCTATTGCTGGTTCACACGCAAAGGGAAGTTACGTTTCCAGGTTCTCCTTTGCTCGTTGCAGGGGGAAGGAAAGGTATCCGGAACCATGTCACATGGTGCCCTTAGTCTGAAGGGGAGAGAAGAGAGACGGTCACAGCACACAGCTTTCTGGGGAAGTTTAAGGACTAAGATAAACCTGGGATAAGATCTAATCTCGTGACTGACCCTTCTATTCTAGTTGAAGACAACTTGGGAGACCCAAAACCACACCAAGTTGCCTAATAATGAATTTCTGTGTGTGTGTGTGCGCGTGTGTGCGTGTTTCTGGAATTTTAGCCACTTTCAAGATAGTCCTGGGGTGGCACAGTTCATGGGCTCATCTGCTCTCCAAAAGGTTGGAGGTTCAAGTCCAACCAGAGGCACCTCGGCAGGAAGGCCTGGTGATCTGCTTTCAGCTCTTGGGAACCCTGCGGAGCACAGTTCTGCTCTGACACCCACAGGGGGCGCCGTGAGTCTGCGTCCACTGGACAGCATCAGGACAAGATGAGAACGTGATGTGGTCGGGAGGTCACATAGGCTCTCAGGGGACAAGCCATGGCTTCCCGAGGCACTTGGGGCTCCCGTTCCCAGCCCGTGTTCCTGACGGCCACGGCCAGGTCAGCCAGGCTAAGGATGGGCCTCTTTGGAATCTGTTCCAAATTAGTTTTTGAAAACCATGAATTACGAGGGAAGTGTCCTTGGAGTTAGAGTCTGTGAAAACCGAGCAGGACCTTGTTAGATGTCAAGTCTGTTCCAGCTCCCAGTGACCCCACATACGACAGAACGGAGCACCAGCCAGTCACATGTCATCCTCCGTCATTGCTGTGTTTGAGTCTGTCGTTGCAGCCGCCGTGTCCGTCCCTTGGACGGTCTTCCTCCTCCTCACGGACCCTCTACTTCAGCCAGCTTGCTGTGCTTCTCCAGGGATCGGTCTGTCCTGATAACTCGTCCAAGCACTTGACGTGAAGTCTTGCCATCCACACTTCCCAGGAGCGTTCTGGCTGTACTTCGTCCAACACATAGGTGTTCATTCTTCTGGCAGTCTGTGGATAGTCAATGTCTTCACCAACAGCACAGTTCACAGGCGTCAGTTCTTATTCATCATCCTTATTCATCATCCAGCTTTCACATGCGTATGAGCTGATTGAAAATACCATGACTCGGGTCAGGCGCACCATAGTCCTCAAAGTGACATCTTGGCTCTTTAACACTTCCAGGAGTCTTTTGCAACAGATCTGCCCCGCGCAGTGTGACATCTGGCTTCTTGACGGCTGCTTCCGCGTGTGTATATACACACATAGTTGTGTACACGCGCCTAAAAGTGGAATTGCTGGGCACAGCATTGTTTTAATGAAGGAAATCCAGAAGCAGCTTGACCAGCCATCAGTAGGGGACTGGCTAACGCAGACTCAGAAACTAAGTCCCTTGGCTCCCGTCGGATACCGTCCAGGGATCAGGCCACAAGGCTTCAACTCCAGGAGGACCGGGCCCTGTGGCACACTGATCGCTGCCAGGCGTGGGCACGCGGGCCACCCTGAGTGTTGCCAGAGTGTCGGAGTTTTCAAGGGAAGATGGAAATAGGGTTTTTTATGTTATATTTCTTCATTTGAAGAACAGTGCCCATATTTGGAAGCTAATCTGTGGTGCTGGAAGTCAGGACCGTGGTGGAGGGTGTGGGGGAACTGGAAGAGGCTTCTGGGAGCTAGTTCTGGGTGCTGGGGTCTGTCCAGCTTATAAACACTGATCGAGGCATACGCTTAGTGCCTGCTTCTGTGCGCTGTTACACTTCCATTACAATTCCTTCCCCCAGAATCCCACACCATGGTTTGGCCTTAAACGTATTTATGCACCAGAGCTGACCCATCAGCTCCTGGGGTTTGCCCTTTGGACATGGCAAGATCCTCAAGACATTTTTCTACAAGGAGAAAATGCAGAGAGTTTGCGTAGCGTTCTGAAGAGTTTAAAATACCATGTATATAAAACTTTTGTTAGAAAGACAAGATGATAGTACAACTTTCCCATCCCCGTTGTCATCAAGTAATTCTGACTCGACCATAAGGGACAGAGTAGAACTGCCCTGTAGGACTTCTAAGGCTGTCCATCTTTACAGAATCAGACCACCTCATCTCTCTCCAGCAGAGCAGCTAGTGGGTTTGAACTTCCAACCTATTGGTTAGCAGCCCAATGCCTTAACCACTGTGCCACCAGAGCCCCGGTTCATAGACACAACATAACGCAATCCCTCAGGTTGCCTAACTGGAAGAAGCCCCCCATGCGCCCAGCTTTTCCTGTCTTCAGGTTCCTTCTTTTAAACTGTCATTAAGTTTTATTGTGGTAATACGTATATTACAAAACATTTGCCGTGTCCGCCATTTTTATGTATACGTTTCAGTGGCATTAGTGCATTGTTTTGTTGATGTCACATAATACAATCATACACACATTCATTGTCCCAGTGGACATTGCATACCAGTGGTGATTCCTAACTTTACATCGGATTTCAGGTCCTCAGAACCAGTGCTTGTCAACAGGTGTATCCCCTCTACTATTATCCTTAATGAGGAGCTCTGGTAGCATAGTGCCTAAGGCATGTGACAGCTAACCAGAAGGCTGGCAGTTCAAACTCCACCAGCCACTCCATGGAAAGGAGACTGGGTAATCTACTTTTGTAAAGATTTACCACCTCAGAAACCCAAAGGGGGTCACTATGAGTTGGAATCGACTCGATGGCAGTGAGTTTTTTTTTTTTTTTTTTTTTTTTTATTAACAAGCAAGGTTCTAGAACAGCAGCCAGCTGCTTGGGTAATGCCTTGTGTTGCACCCTGGGTCAGTTAACCATGAGGCGTTCCTGAAACTAGCTCTGGAATGTGGCCCTTTCTGCAGGACCATTTCACTTCAAACCACCACTCATCCCCTGAAGAAAGGCATCCAAGGAGGGGTGAGAGAGGGGCCATCACACCAACACCAGGGGCTTACGTCCTTGAGTTGGGAGGCTGTGACTCACACATGGCCGTCACCGGCCTCAACGCAGGCCAGTCCCTTGTAGTTGCACTTGTGCTCTGGATAGAGCAGATGCTCCTAGTAAGGGGTGAAGCCACCAGACAGTGTGACAGAGGGGAACCCCAAACACCAGTGCTTTGGGGGGGGCAGGAAAGTCCAAAAATGAGATAAAGGGACCACATATAGGACAACGATGTAAGCTGATTTCTAGCCACTGGGCAGGAAGACAGAGGCTGTGACCATAGAACAGTTCTCGGGCCTCTAGCCCAGCAGCCCCATTCCCCACGTTCAGCGGCCCATCACCAGATCTTGGGGTTTTTAAAGAGAAGTTGTCTTCCTGAGAATTTTAATGTGATTTCCCTTGAGGAACCGCCTGGGCTACACGGACAGTAAAGTAGAGTGATGGGATAAGGAGAGAGTGCATCTGACCCAGGCAGGAGGCAGCTGGACAGGTGGGGGGGTGCCAAGCCAGGGAGGTCGGCACAGGGCTGCTGGGGAACCGGCCACGTGGGGCCTGCGGGTGCCCGATGGGGAAGCTTTGAGCTCTGCCAGGTTCACAAGGTGGCCCAGGTAGGCCCTGTCTTGTCCTCTTGACCACTGCCGGTGCCACCGCAGGGATCCTGGAGGAAGGGTCCGCTGAGTGTGTGTGTGTGTAAAAATGAAGGGTCTTCTCTGTGTCTGACTGTGTGTGTGGTCTTTGGGGTGGGGCGCCCTCATTCATGTCACCTAATTGTAAATTAACCACAGCTTGAACCCGAGCCAGGTGCGCCCCAAGGCTGGTTCTGCCCTTTATGGGTGGCAGGGCCCCGGCTGGGGAGGCCCCATCACTCCCACCCCTCTCCCCGCGTCCCCACCCCCGTGGAGCGACAGTCGCCAACCCGGCCGCCGCGCGCACGCCCGCGCCACCTGGCGCCCGCAGGCCGCCCGGCTCCCGGGCCGCCAAGGGTTAAGCCCACCGAGCT